TGAGTCACCATCCCTGGGGATATTTAAAAGACGCGCAGAGGTGGCGATTAGGGACATAGGTTAGTGGTGGCCTTGGCAATGCTGGGTTCACGGTTGGACTCGATCATCTTAAGGGCCTTTTCCAACCTCAGTGATTCCGTGATTCTAAGAGCTCCCGGCCTTTGCTCAGCCCTGTGACAGCGAGAGCAGGAGCTAGCACAGCATGGCTGACCCTCTCCCCTCCGAGAGGCAGACCCAGGCAGAGAGAACCAGCCCAGCGCTTCCCTGCAGCGTTCCCCTTTCCTTTCCCCAGGGAGTTGGATCTGGGGCCAGCGGGGCCTCACCGTACCTTTCTGTGCTCGTGGTCAATCATGACGTTGTGTGGCTTGACGTCTCGATGCATGACCCCCATACTGTGACAGTAGTCCAGCGCCTGCGGACAGAACGGGCGCCGTCAGAAAGCCTCCCTCTGCGTGACAAGGCAGCAGGATCGGGCAGAGAGCCCGCAGCCAGAGGCGGGTGAAGGACAGACCCAGAGGCTGTTCTGGGACAGAGCCAGCCAGCCACCTCGGGCAGCACTGAGGTCAGCCCCTGCTTCAGTGACGCCTGTCCTAAAAGCTACAGGCACGGAGGCGTTCCCCAGGGATCTCTGGACCTCGGCCCTGTCCCGGATCCTGCGCGGTCACCTCTAGCGTGGACCCTCCCTGGGGTCCAGCACGCGCCGTCACCTCTCCTGGAAGGAGACCACTAAAATCCTGCAGCGTGGGTCAGACCAGCCCGCTGCGCCGCAGGTCTGTGCGCTGGGCTCTGCCCCCCCGCAGCACGTCCTTTTGAAGGTCAGCCCAAACCCCAGAGCTGGAGCATGACCGAGCGGCGGTGAGGAGGCAAACCCCATCTTCCTCTCCAGCCCTGTGCCAGCCCCACTGGAGAAGACCTCGTTCAAAGGCTGCCATCTCCCTGCAGTGCCTGCTCCAACTGAAGCCGGGATGCTGCAGTCGATCCTGGCCGGTCTCTGCCGGCAGGGATGGCTGGGACAGGCAAGGAGTGCTCTGGGAGAGGGTTTCGGCACCCTCGGACCCCCGGCTGACCACCCGTGCAGGCTCCAGCATGGTCCTGGCCTCAAGAGCAGCTTGCAACCCAAGCCACCTCCAATACCAGGTCCCAGCAGAGGCAGAAGTCTTGCAAGGGGATAGCCGGGGAGATAAATAAGATGGCTTTTTGCTTCTCAAGGACACGGCGACCTCACGCTCTGAGCCGCTCGCTAGCACGCTCCACAGCCACCTGCCTCTGAGCCTCCCCTTGTGCGGTGGCCCAAGAAGCCATCCCACGCGTACGGCCAGGCAACGGTCCAGCAGGGTTTAGTAGCCAAATGAGCTCCGTGCTCTACCTCCTGCTTCTACACACAGACCCCCCGGGGGAGATTTAGCAGCAGGTCTCTGCCTGAGTGAGGATTTTCTTTGGGACTGTGGATTTCTCAGCCGCCGCCAGGAGCTTACCTTTAGGATTTCATACATGTAGAACCGTATGTCAAAATCAGATAGCGTCTGGTACAATTGCTGGAAGAATGAAGACAAGAGGCAGGTTAACAAAACACAGCACGTTTATCCACCGCTCCTGGGCGCAGGACACGGGCTCCTCGTGGAGGCACCAGCCGTCTGTGCAGGCGCAGAACAGACACTTGTGGAGCCACAACTCAGGCCCAGAGGCACCAACGGGCCAGATGGCACACAGGCAGCTTTGTACCCGCTTTGTACCCCGAATTTCCCCACCTGGGAACTGCCAGCACACCACAGGGAGGAGCCAGACTCTCAGTCTGGCTAACCAACCTTGCTTCCACCCAGGAGGGGACCAGGGAGCTCTGAGACCCGGCACCTGGAAGGATTCAGTTTCCCATCCTGAGGACAGGGGATGAGGATGAGAGCACACGCCTCACTGCCCTCGCAAAAAACGCCCAGAGAGCAATTCCCTGAGACAGCCCGAAGACAAGCCTTGGGAACAAGAATTGGGTGGGAAAAGGATCACTCCAGGACTTACAGTGCATTAATTACTCCCCAAAAACAACTGAGCAGCCACAGGCAAAGCGGCTGCTGGTTTAGTAACTCCTCCAGCCCCTCTCGATAACCCTCGTCTTCTACTCAGCCCAGGCTCCAGGGACGCAAGGCTCAACTAATCCAAGGTTTCAGCCTGCAAGTTGGCCAACATGAGATTGCGAATACAAGCCCAGGATGGCCAAACACTGGAGCAGCGTGCCAGAGAGGAGAGATCTGGGGACAATCCCTAACAAGAGCACTGTGCCCCTGGCTCTTCCCTTAACTGTGAAATGTAGAAAAAAGCCGCTGGTTGCAGCCCAAAATCCCCTGGCCCCTCTGCGACAGCAATGCCAGCCATTTCTGTGACACCGTGTGCCTCTGAAATAGAGGACCGTTCCTTCCCCACCACGAGGCAGCATCAGAGTGGCTCGGGAATCCCTCTGGCAGCCAGGGTGTGATGCCTGCTCTGCAGCACAGCCTAGAAGAGCTCTCCCAGACACGCCATCATCAGATTCAGGCGGTGTCCGCAACAGTGGTGGTCGCTCACCTTGAAGTCTGTGTTGTTGACATGCTCGAAAACCAGGGCAGGCGTCCGAGACTGCAGGATGGCGGCATCAGTTCAAGAGACAGAAAGAAAAGAAGAGAGGTTTAGTCTTCCTCAAGGCAGGAGAGTGCAGGAGGGGGCGGGCAGGCAGGCGGGCAACTGCCCTGTGTCCAGCCCAGGGCCCTCCAGCACCCACCAGGAGCTCCTGCCCTCCTGCCCTTGCCGCCCCAGGTCCTGCCTGTACTGCAACAAGAGCTGCTCTCGAGACAGGACTGCTGCCCAGCATTTAGCAGCATCCAGCGCATTAGGAGCTGCATCTTTACACCACCAGCTGCACGTGTGCCCTGTACAGACCCCTACCAGCGATCAGACCCGATGCGCCCACCTCTGGGTACCGAACGGGACCCAGCAAAGCTGGGTCAGGGTGAGGTGGGAAGGAAGGGAGCTCTTGGGGTCTGATTTATAAGAGCGGTGCCTGCCAGCATCGCTAGAGCGAGCTAAGGTTATACCCTGGAAAGGGGCTCTTGCCTCAGCTGTCAGCAACCCGATCTCACAAAGACTTCATAGAAACACCGGCAGAAAGGAGAAGGGGCCAGCGCCAGAGCTGCGCAGCCCCAGCCAACCGCAACCCTCCCAGACAGGCCCAGCTGGGGCTTCCCAAACTGCGTTTTCGGAGACGCCGCAGGTGGAGGGGGCACGCAGCCCCCCTCAGGAGCCGAGCGAGCTGCTGCTGTAGGTTTCACACCACGTTTTCTGGCTTCTTTTTGTAGGATTCTCCCCACCCCTTCCCCTTTCTCTTTGATCTCCTCCTCCTCCTCCTTGCAGCGGGACGCTGGACCTCTGGGCAGGATTCCCAAGGTCTGTGTGCAGGGAGAAATCCCCCTCTCTGTCTGTACAGCCCCTCCTGAATACACACAGGAGGCCAGGTCAGCCCTTTGGGCCACAGACCACCCTGAGCACTTGTGCAGAGGCCATCGCCCTCAGCAAGCCCACCAGCCCTCCGCTCCTCAAAACAGCCGCCCACCCCAAGACGAGAACCTGCACCTCGGATCCTGAGCCAGCCATGTAACCCCCCCGCTCTCCTTCCCTACGACGTGATCTGTCACCTCAAACGTCACCAGCCGGCTTTGCAGACCCCGTCTGGAAAAGGAGCAGCGGAGCGAGAGCCTGTCCCCAGGGCCCCTGCTCGCTGCTATCTCCCCGCAAACAGCTGCCTTTCACGGCCCGTCAGAGGATTAAAATTGGCTCAAATACGCCCTGCTAATTCATCCTAATGCAGCTTTTTAATCAGTGCGTCAGGCGGCACGAAGTCACAGGCCTTGGAGAAATTCAGCCGTGCTACATAAACACCACGGCCTTTATCAGTCTGCCCATGTAAAACTCTCACCTCCGCTGCCAAAAGCGGGTTTCCCAAAACCCTCCGGGTCCTGCCGAGCGCTGCCTGCCCCCCTGCCCAACTCGGGGCAGCAGAGCCCACCACATGACTGACCTGAACCAGCAATCCTGCCCGGATCACACCGGCCGGATTAGAAACCGGCGGGGACAGTGGGATACCCCGGCTCCGCGGGGATAACAGAAGTGAAAGCCGCCCCTGGGCAAGAGCCAGGAGACCGGCCAGCGCCACAAAGGAAACATCATCTGGTTTTGGGAGGAGTGAAGAATCTCAGCACACCGCAGAGCACCGAGGCACGACGGCGGAGGAAAGCCTCCCTCCGCCGGATTGCTTTGACGATAGCGCAACCCCAACCTCCTCCCGCTCTCCGCCGATTTGCTCACGTTGGCCGCTGCCTGTCCTTCTCCTCAGCCTTCGCAAAGGCAGGGGGGGTCACCCAGCAAACAGAAAGCAGCCTGGCGCTGCGCAAGACCAGGGTGGTTTGAAAGCCAAAGAACCCAGTGGGCAGAAGGCACCCCTTGTTCCCAGCCACTTTTTCGGGAACGAGAGCAGACGGCGCTGTAGGCACAGCCCTCCTCCACCTGCCACTGCTGGATCAGCCAGAAATATCTCCTTCCATTTCTACCCTCTCGTCTACCGTCTCAGCAGTGCTCGAGTGGGGAACAGGCGCAGAGATTTCCCCAGGCTGATTTCAGCTGCCAGATGGATGCCAAGTGGGCCAGGGAGTCAATCCGAGCTCGGAGAGACTCCTAGCTCATGGGGTGGGAAGGGGTCTGAAGGACTCCCTCGCACCCCCCCAAGCTGCGGGTGTCAGAGCTGCCCCTTCCCCTTCCTTACCACAGGATCTTTCACTATGTCTAGCAGGCTGATGATATTGGGGCCTCCTCGGAGATTCTCCAGGATCTTAATCTCACGCTTGATCTTCTTCTTTTTCACAGGCTGAGAAAACAGAAAACGAGAGCCAGTTACCAGCAGGACAGACCTCTCCAGCCACTCCGGCGTGACGGGCTGTACACGTGGCAGGGAAACGGCAAAGGAGCGTGCAGTTCTTCAGTGGTGCAAAAGAAACGGTGATGAGCAGGCGCATTCTCTAAGCCTGCACAGCCCGCGTCTGACCCCGAGGAGCGCAGGTGGCTCTCGAGGATGGTGGCTCTCCCCTGACAGGGTACCCAGCGTCACCCAGCCCCACGCCAGCCCTGTGGGAGAATGGAGGGAGCGTGATCCCATGCCTCAGTCACTCAAATCACCCTGGAGAACGTCAGCCTGTGAGCTCGTCCACCTAACAGCTCTCTGCTTCCAAAGGAATGGAGTTTCTAGCATTTGGAAGACAGCTGGGAGATTATTTTACTACAAATCAAGGTTTTAAAGAGCAAGCTTAGTTTCTTCAGGTCCCAGGTTAAATCTTTGACTGAAACTTTGGAAACAGTTAACCAAGAAAAGCATGATTCAGTGAAAAGAGCTCTAGCAGCCAAGCCCATCTGTGTCTCCGTAACTCCTCACAAGCAGTCCCCAGCCCGAGCTGCCTGGTGAAATGACCCCCCACTTGCAGAGTAAGCACAGAGACAGCTCTGGAAGTGCTCAGAGAAGCCAACCCGAGTCCCTCTCCTGCCTCTGAAGACGGGATGCTCTTTCTGCCTTTCCAGCTAGCTTTCTGCTTCTCCGTCACAGGCTGGGCAAACACATTAACAAGGACATTTCTCACGTTCTCACTTGTAACCTGCCCCGAGCTTTTCTGAACGTGTATTTCTGTTGTGCTCCTTAATTTCTATACTCCTTCCACCTTCACCGTTTCTCTCACAAGGGCAATGTTCTTAAGTGTGTCCCCATACTTTGTAACTCACACATTCCACAGACTATAATTGCATATGGCTTGGTCATGCCACAGAAATTAGCTTGCCACCACGAGCTGACGAGCCTAAACACGGCCTGTAGCCCATTGGTCAGGACTCTGTTAGCTTTGGTGAGCCGCTCTGTGCCCTGCCTAAGCTCCCGGGACACATTGGTGTAACCATGCTCATCTCCAGGGCAGGAATTGGCTGCAACTTACCGGCCAAGACACCACATGTTGCAACGACCTTCCGTTGCAAGACGCTGCTCTGCTCATCCCGGGAAAGATCTCTGGGCTCGTGCGCCCTCGCTCGGGCAGGGAGCTGTGCTCCGTGAATCCAGCATGGGGATTTTATGAACTTGGATCAGAACAAGCCAAGTACTCGTGCTGAACTGGTGAGACCATGACCTGAAACAGGCCCAAAGAAAGCCTTTGCCCTAAGTCGCGGAGCACCGCTGAGACGCAGCCGCCTGTCAGGAGGAGAGCATCACTCACCACAATCTCACCGCGGTGACGCCGGCGGGTGACAAAGAGGGAGGGCAAAGGGGGCACAGGCAGAACATCCGTACGAGGCCGGGCGCAGGACCTTCCTTCTGCCTCCACTGCATGTATGTGATCCCCTGCCTCCCTGCTCTGACCCCTGGTTTGCTTGGAAAGAGTTACCCAAAAAAAGCGTAATTCAGTGAAAGAGCTCTAACAGCCCAGCCTGTCTGGGTCTCCATAAATCTGGTTTCTTGGGAAGGAGACAAGCTACCTAAAACTTTTGACTTGGGGACTGGTGTTTTCCTCAGCTAAGATGAGATCATCCAAATATCGACAGAGCCCTTCAAATGGAGAAGGCAGGAAAAGGCAAAGGAAGGGAAGACGCAGAAGCATCGGCAGAGGAACAAAACAGTGAGCAAACACACCTACCTTGAGGATTTTCACAACCACTTTCTCGTTGTTGGTGATGTTGATGGCTTCAAAGACCTCACTGTATTTGCCACGGCCAAGTTTCCGCACAAGCTGATAGTCATCTTGGTTGCTGTTTGAGAAACAGAGAAATAAGAGATGACGAGGTTGCGCCCGGCTCAAAACAGAGCACTGCTTGCTTTAGAGACAACGCTTGTCCCAAGGAGAGCGGGAAGGTCAAGATCTGGGGGTCAGTCTACGGTAAATGGAGAGCTAGCAGTGTACCACAGTGCCTAGGGCTGGAGAGAAGCAGCTACCACCGCAGAGGAACATGCAAACCGACCGGCGAACGACCGGAGAGCACCGCTGCGGCGCAGCGCTGCCGGCAGCACACACGGCAGAGCGCTGGCTCAGCAGTTTCCACGTGGAGATGGACACCAGACCTCACGGGCATTACGGGGAGCTCGGGGACAGCCCCCCCAACGCTTGCACGCACCGCAGCCCTGCCGGCAAACCCTTCCGGCACGCCGAAAACGCTTCTGTCAACTCCCAACGCTGGCGCTCTCTCCCCCTCCCAACCTTAGCTCTCCTCCCAGCTCTGCTACAGGTTGTGCAGAGACGATGCCTTTCCACCTTTCCTTCTTCTCAGTTACGAAGAGGAGGCGGTGGGCTGCAAGGACTAGCTCACCTGAAACTCCAGAGCCCACCATCAGTTAGTTAATGGCAGAGACTGACAAAACACCTGACAGAAAAATTCCTCTGCGACCCCTCCTTTATACTGAGGTCTAAAGGATCTCGCACACCGAAGGATAAATATTCCACACAAGAAATCAGAAGATAATAAAACAACTCTCACCCATAAAACCTCCACGTATTTAAATCTACTAAGGTCTAACCAAAGTCACCTGAGGGGACTGAAGGAAACAGCAGAAGTATCGGCAATTAATTCTGCTACACCAAGGAGGGAAGGCACAGGGCCCCCGGGGCTTTGATAAGGATAAACAAGTGGGGGAAAGAAAGGGAATTACAGGCTGGAAAGCTTGACTTCACAAATTGCTAATTACCAGAGACAATACAGGAGATGACTTGTCAGCACCACAAGGAAAAGAAGGAGAGTTCAAATGGGCAGTGGAGCTGTAGCACAACCCGACCGCACCAGGCTGCTTCGCTCCTTAACCCGAGGTTACGCTCGGCAAATACGAATAAAGGGAGCGTGGTGAACCACGCATTACAGATGGGGAGGATTAATTCATCTTCACTAGGAACCAGACGGGAAGGCTCAGGGTTAACATTAGGGAAAACATTAACTGCAGGGATTGTTTGGGTGACAAAAAAACCCCAGGATGCTCGCAGAAGACATGGAATTACCATCTCGGAGTGACTGAAGGCTCCCCAGGGCTCTGCCTGGCGCAGGAGATTTGGAAGTGGATAAACAGCTTTTCATTTCTAGGTCACCGGTACCGGTGGCGGGCACGCGTTGCAGCTAGCCGGGGTCTGGGCAGAGAGGAGGGATTGCACCGGGGAGGGCTCCTAATCCGGCCCCGGCAGCAACCCCACAGACAGCTGCCAACCGCAGCATGGGAACAGCCTCCTCGGCGCCCAGGGTCTCGCCGTGGCCTCAGATAAAAGACTTATTTTTACAGATTTTACCACAACTACCAAACAAAGAGCAGCCTCTGTCCCTGGCGGGCAGCATTCCTTCGGCCTGAAGCACCGGGTGCATGGCTCGGGAAGGAAGGTGCTCTCGAGCAGGGGAGCATTTCTTGCTGACGAGTGCTACGTTACTACCTGAGAAGTCAAAGCTGGCCCTTTGCCCAGCTCGTCGCCAAGCCAGCTGCCGTATAAAACAATCAACTGGTCGTCTTCATTTCAAGTTCTCAGAGACTCCAGTCCTCAGGGAAACTCCAAAAAAAAAAAATAGTCACGAGACTTTGACCTTCGTCCTTTCAAACCCCTCTTCGCTCCAGGACCGTTTCCCAAGCTTCCCACTGTTGCTCCCCGTTATCCCCATCAGTGCCCTGGGGACAGCAGCGCGGAGGGTGCTGTCTTTAGATGTAGCCATTCTTCCCAGCGATAAAAACCAAACCCTCATCACGCTTCTTTAATTAAGCGCTTACTTGTGTGCTTAAAGCCAGGCACCCAGGTCTATTTGAAACGCTTCGGTACAAGTGGCTCTGCTTGCAAAGCTGCCGAGGAACCGCAGGCTCGAGCCCAGGGCTCCCCTGGAAATCAGTCCCCCCGCTTCCCGCCCCTGGCAGCGCAGCCCCCTGGATGGGCGCCGGATGGCAACGCCGAAAACCAAAATGCCGGTGCCCGCTCCGCTGGGTGCCACCCCTCACACCGCGGCCGGAACAGAGGCTCCGCGACCTGCCCTCCTGCCTTCGGGAGGGCGTTTGTCCCCGCGCCGCGGAGGATGAGCGGCGGTAGCACTCGCGCACGGGCCCTGCCGTAGGTCCCCCTCCTATCTCCCAGGCGTACCCCCATTCCACGACGTGCGACTCGTAGTCCCAGTACTCGCGGGGTCTCTGAGTGTTCACGTCTGCATAGACCCTGGCCCGACTCGGCACTGGCCCCGACATGCTTCCACGGCCAGAGGCGCAGTACCTCAATCACCCTAAAAATATAAACACACGTGAGTTGGGATGAGACCAAGGCACACTTGTGAGAGAAACAGGGAAAAGAGGGGGTGCGTGTCGGGCGAACCCGAGCGGAGCTGGGGGGGGCTGCAGAAAGCGAGGGTGGGCAGGAGGCACGGCTCAGCCCCGCAGGGAACACCCGGCAGCACCAAAGCTGGCGGGCAGAGCGGAGGGAACCCGTGCCCGAGCTGCCAGCCTGGCAGTGGGTCTCTGCTGGGAAGCAGGCTCCGGGGTCTGCAGAGCCGACAGCTGGGCTGTCCTCCTTCACGCCCCTTCCCAGCCCAGTCCTCTCCCCCCCCAAACTGCTCTGTCCACCCTGGAGGCCACCGAAGCCAAGGGCAGAAAACTCCCTCTGCTCTCCAGCTCCAGTTAGGAGCGAGCACCACCAGCTCCTCCCTGAACCTGCTAGCTTTGGCCCGAGCCTGCTTCCCCAACGAGAGGAAAATGGTAAAACA